CCTCGGGGCCCCGGGAAAGAACGTCATCGGGACCCGGTGCCACCACAACGGCCGAAGGGCCCACATGTAGTTGAGTGACGTACAGATCCGCCGCATCAGCCTTCGACCTTATTTCTAAGGCGGCGGTATTCAGGTAGGAATACCCCTCGGGCATATCGAGGGGCTTCCCTTGGTCTGCGACGCTGCCTTTCTTCTTGTGGGCAGCCACTTTCGCCTTCTTCTTTCCGGGGGCCACCCGGATGGGAACCGCGTTCAGCGGCCGAGAGGTGCTAGCCTCGCCGGTACCCCGAGGGGGGAGAACAACAACGGTGACCCTCGCGCCTTCTTTCTGCGCCTCTTCTTCAGCTGCTTGCCAGGCGAGGGCCAGCTCTTCATCCTCACATTCTTGTTCGAAGCCCTCGGCTTCCGCCTCAGCAACGAGGGCTTTCTGCAGCTCCAGGGCGACGACGACATCCTGTCCCACTGAGGACTGTTCGCTTGTGGACTCCACGTCTGAAAAGACTTCATCCCCTATCGAGGGCGCCCCCGAGATGTCCTGGGAATCACTTTGGGAAGACATCTTCGCACTGGTTCGAGGGCTCGGAAATACTAGAGTTCTCTAAAAGTTCTATCTCCTAGCCTAAGGTCACAAGGCACAGCTAACTACAATGAGAAGAGCAGGGGGGAACTGACCTTAAGGCAAGGATTGATTGAGGGCTGCTGTTTCTCTCTCTAGAAATTTTGGCAGAGCTTCGCTATAATGATTTCGCACAAGGGGAAGGAAGTCGGCCATGGGGTATTTATAGGCGCTGGGATCTGGGCTTGGGCCTGGAAACCGGGCCTCCGGTTGGACTGTCATCATTACCAACCGAGGTTCCACCCAATCGGTGACGCCCGCCCATGGGCAGCCAACGAGCACGCACCACGTGGCAACCCCCCCAACGGCTATATCCTGACGTTACATATTCCAACGGCTATATTTCCAACGGCTATATTCTGGGAGCCCCCGGGCTTTTTGCTTCACTCCACTTCATCAGGGAGAGCCCCCGGATACACTTACCCAGAGACGCTCCCGGGTTTGTGCCCCACACAGTACATAACAGATGCCTTCGGGATCACTCCTTCAGAAGCCCAAGGCTTCATATCAGGCCACCCCTCGGGGATCCCCCTCAGCACTTTGAGGGCGGGGTAGCCCCCGGGGAGTATGCCTCATTGACGGATAGCCTACGACACACAGGTGATGGGACCCCTCAGATATCCTCATCACCAACTAATCAACAAACAGGGGACCCCCGGTAACCATTCAACTACTACCCGCATTCATTACGCCCTCGATCCCCGGATTGAGGGACCCCCCTTCGGCACCTCCCAGGACATCAACAACAAGCCTCCGGCTAATCAACGCATGAGCCCTCAGAACAAGGAGAGCATTCGACATCATCATTATTCTCCATTTTGAACCAAGGTTTCACATTTTCGATTCATCGTTGGGGGAATTCGGTGCACTCTTTTTCCCTCATTAGGATTTTTTCCCACAAGGTTTTTCCTAATGAGGTTTTTAACGAGGCATCCCCCCAAAATGAAACGAAAAGCGTCAGCCTTCGGCCCAAAACAGCAACGCAACTACTCTACTCCTTTTCACCACTTTGCAAGTGCCTCAAGGAGTGGGGGACTGGAGGACCCCCTCGGGAAAAATCACAAAAATCACAAACATGACCCCTCAAGTCCCGATATGTGGGTAACTGAGGGACTACCCTCGGCAGAATAAACAAACAGCAAACTACTCACAACTCTACAAACTACAAACGGAACAACGGCAGAGGACTAACACAATTACTTCTTTTCCCTCAAGTACCTTTCGGCAAAAGGAGTGAGGGACTCCTGATGGAGTATATGGCCTGGGAACCCCCGGCCCACAGACTGCTACTACTCCAATCAAGGCCCAACAGGCCCAGAGTACCAAGCAGCCCACAATGCGCACCAGGGGTGCCTTCGCCCCCCTGGCCGAAGGCTCCAACTCTCACAGGAGGGCCAACACAGCAAAACAAAGTTACTGGGAAAACGGCGAAAATCAGTAGCCCTCGGCACCAAGGGGGTCCCCGGTACTCAGAGCCCTCGGCTAGTCCTCTACAGCCGAGGGCACCTTCCCCGACATGATATCCGTGCCACATGCGTACAGATCACCGTACCCTGTACAACGTCCCATCCAACAGCCGCATTAAATGCGGCCACATGCGGTTGCCAGCGCCAACCAGTTGAGGTGACCTCTCGGCCAATGGACGCTTGACACGTGTCCCTGTCCGGCATTTATTGCTACTATAAATAGCACCCCATTTCCCCATTTGTAACCAAGTAATAAACGCTGCATACTTTCTAAATATACTTTCTCTCTCTATACTTACTTGCTCTGACTTCTCTCTTATTATTCCCCGTAATAACCCCTCGGATAAGCTACCCCCGGTACACTATCCATCAACTGGTTTGAGACTCTGGTCGGGTCCAACTCTAGTTGACCTAGGGAAAAACGAAAAACGCACTTTTTAGGAACTTAATGAAAAGTTATGGTATTTTTAAGGGTCGTCCGGTCATGTTCAAATTAGTGATTGCAGTGTTCACTCATTGATACATTGATTGATGCAATTTCATGAGTGAGTTAACAAACGGTGGGCTGTAAAACAAAGTCACGATTTTGGAGATGAAAATGTGCAAATGCTACCAACTTTCCTAATTTTGTGATATGCAATCTAACATTACGTAAAAGACATGGTGGTTAGGCCTTAACATGAATAAATGAATGTGCTTCATTGCACTCTTTCATTTTGGAATCCCGCCCCTTTTCACTCCTTATCACAATTCACATTTAAGTGACAAAAACCCATAAACCAATATCATTTTTTGGAACTGCCTCTACGAAACTTTACATTGGATCAAGCAATTGAAAAGTAAATGAAGAATCAAAGAATCATAAAACTAAAACTCTTTAGGCTAGAACTCTAAAAGAGTTAGAAAGAATCACAACATAAACTCTTTAGCCATTCTTAGAAATTTAATCTGCGGACTACCCCCTTTCTAAAAAACCTGGAAAATGAAGCTGAGTTACAATAATCCAAAACTTAATTCAAAATTTAGATAATACTGTCCTTACCAACACTTCAAAATCGATGAGCCATACTTCAAAATCCAATCCAATAGCGAAAACTATGAATGAAAGAATTGAAAGAAAATTGGATTGTGATGCCCGTATCTTCAGTGGTAACGGAATTGAAGACTGAAGCTCTAGATTAATGAACCTGATGTTTCTAACGTAGTCGTATGTTAGAAATGATGATGATGGAGGAACGATGGGTTTGGGTGTTGGATCGATACACCCTCTTCGGATTCGACAAGCTACTTAGATGGATACGCCCTTTTTCGGATTCGACAAACTTCCCATTGGGACACTCATTCTTGGGCTTTCTTACCCCGGGCTCGCTTAACTGCACAGTTCTGTGGTTACATAGCAGTCATATCTTTCTTAAAACCAATTGGTGATAAAGAAGCGGACAACCTCTATTTAACACATTACTCTGTAGTCCCCAAGTTAAGGTAGATTCATGTGGGGCACCCCCACAGTTCACTACGGCAGTGCAAAGTCCCACTACTGAGCGGTGGATGCACATGAGGGGCTGCACCACATTGTGGTACCAACAGGTTGGGCGGTTAGTCTCTGAATCAAAGGGCGGTGTTGATCCCCCATAAGACCAACACTGGGCAATGGAAAGACTACGGGCAGATGGAGGAAAAATGCAAGAATAGGTGGGAACAGGATCTGATCAAGGAAAGAGGTGAATACACAGTCGGATGTATTTTGATCGAACGATTTGGTGAAAGGCGAGAATACTGTACAATGAACAGTAAAAAATGTTTTGCTTTTATGTATTAGATTAGTTCAAAATTGACAAGTGGATGTCGTTCAAGTGGATTTTAAGTTTCTCCTCTTGAGGAAGGTATTGAATTTAAAGTGTACATAAAACCCCATATTTACCTTTGTACACGGGCAATTCATTTAAAAAGGGAACATGATTTGATGTCAAAACTCTCCTAAACACATTTTGTATACAGTACACGAAAATGACCCAATTTTAAATTGCCAATGAGATGAGTTTGAGATTTTTATCAAATAATGGTTCTTTAAGAGGTGGTAGCTCAAATGATTGTTTAATCATTGTTTTGTCTCACCTCAAGCGATAATGTGGAGTTAACTTACTGCACGCAGAAATGCAGAATAGCAAGATTGCTTAGGCACAAAAGAATACGAATGATACTGAGAAAATGATTCTTAGGCAACATTTTATGAAGAAAACTGATTTTCATAAAGACACAAACAAAAATTTGTTTGTATCACATACAGTTTAAATGAGAATTTTTCTTAAAATATCTGTAATACAAACAATTTTAAATAGGAATTTTAAAATATTTGTGATACAGACAAATTTTTGATTTTGTCCGAATTGAAATCGATTTTCTTCCTAAAAAGTCGATCAAATTGTTGTACAAATGAGGTATAGTGCCGTGTAGAAAACATTTTTCTTGTTTTCATACTCACCGGCCAATTAACATTTTATTATTCATGGAGACTTTAGTCTTTTCAATGTACCGTTTTATTTCCAAAAATCAGCATAAACTGCGGGTGGTTCCCACTTTGATGAGTCATGACTCTCTCCTGCCTCATCAGTAAGCCTCTTTAGTTCGCTCATGCAATTTCTCTCTACTGTACCTATTTTGTCTCATGCACTCCTCTGCGTATATTCCGTTTGATTTTTTAAATGCTATAAACTCAATACGGATTGTACATCCACCGTCTTATTGCAGATAATAATTGAATTTTGTATACAGATTACAGACTTATACGGAGTACTACGCATAATAACTTTTTCAATGAATTATAGGGAGTTGTAAAATCTCAGGTTCTTATCTATATACAGAAAAGTCTGAACTTTCAAGTAATACTGAAAAAGTCTACTTTTTTCTCTCTATATATATACCCACCCGTATACAGACGCTCAAGAAATAGTGTGGGTTTGAGTTAGGAGGACCGAAAGCTGTAGCTGATATCATGGCCGGTTGGAGAATCACGTCATTTCTCACGCGTTCCTTGAACACTTGTTCCTCTCTTCGTCTAATCTCCGGCGGTATCAATTTCTGCTTAGATTTGTTTATTTGTGTGCATACACCTTTTTGCTGTAATGGAATCGATGGGTTGTTTTTTCCAGTTTCTCTTAAACTGTTTTTCAGAAAGCGTGAATTGTTCTTATAGATGTTGTGAGTTGTGACAGGTTCTTGAAATGTAGTAAAATCAGGTTTCTCTTCGCGGCGAGAAGAATTTGTAGTTTATGCGTGTTGCTGTTGTCATTAAGATTTATCCGGTTTATAATTAGGGTTATAATCCTTCTAATTTGGTCGATTACAAGAATCCAAGCTGTTCTGTTTAGGTGGGACTTCGAATTTTTGTGGAAGGATTCATAGATTAAGCACCGCTGCTGCTCTTGAAGAGCCAATTAAGCCTCATGTCTCTGTTGAGCACACACAACTCCTCATCAATGGACAATTTGTTGATTCAGCTTCGGGTGATTGTTGATTATAATTTGAGATCTTGTTTACTCATACACTTAATATATTGTACTGAACTAATTACCAAGAATTGTGCAGGCAAAACTTTTCCTACCTTAGACCCCAGGACGGGTGAGGTGATTGCGCATGTTGCCGAAGGGGAAGCAGAAGATATCAACAGAGCAGTCTCTGCTGCTCGAAAGGCTTTTGATGAAGGCCCTTGGCCAAAAATGACTGCTTATGTAAAACTATCCTTTCAATCTGCTTTTTATTACATTGCTTACTGTTCTTATATTTCTATATGCTAAATATGGGCCCCGGAAAATGCTTGGGAGGGGCTAATGCTATCCAAAGTTATTTTATTGTGATTATTTAATATGCAAATGAATGACTAATGTTTTTGAAGCATATTTTAGATTTCTTAGTCTTTATATAATAAAAGTAGATTAGTGAATGATTTTGAACAAATGTAAAAATATAGCCTTTCAGCTTGAAAAATTGTTTGATTGTTCCTCGTATTTTCTTTTCCTTCCAAATTCCTCTGTATTTTCTCAATGTATTATCTCCCTAGCTTTTCCATCATTTCCAATGGAGTCATAGACTCACTATTTTTTGGCTTGGGAATATCATGGAATACAGTAGAATGGCTCACTAAACAGTTAGTCCATGCAATTTTGTGATTTTCATCATGGGTCATTCAGAAACAGTCTCTCCCTGCTTTAGTACTGGGGTAAGGTTGTGTACATCCGACCCCCTTACCCCACCGTAGGTGGGAGCCTTTGCGGCACTGGGGGCAATGTTGTTGTTGTATTCTCACCCTAGCATTTTTAGAGTTCCAAACGGACCCTATTTGTTTTACGTGGGGGAGATGATCTTACCTAAGCTACTACTTCGATATGCAAATTCAGGAAAGATCAAAAGTAATGCTGCGATGTGCTGATCTGATTGAGAAGCACAAGGATGAAGTTGCAGCACTTGAAACTTGGGACAATGGAAAACCATTTCTACAGTCTTCTAATGATGAAGTTCCCATGCTTGTACGCTTAATCCGCTATTATGCTGGTAGGTCAATTGAATGAACTATATTATCTGTATTTGTTTCATTATAAGTCACTATTTTAAGATTTGGTGGTTTCCTAGGCTCTGCTTGGTAGCCCACTAGCCTAGTTTTGCTTATTCTGCTTATATCAGCATGATAATTAGAATCAATAGTTCTTATCTTAATTAGAGCTTGTTTGGCATCCATGAATTTTTCTTTTCCTTGTAAAGTTTAGCTGTTTACAAAAGTCATCGTGTTTGGGATGGTATAAATTAATTGAAAAAAATTATTTTCATCAAATTTTAGATGTTTTGGAGAAGTTAGGAATTTGTAACTTATGGTAATTTTTAATTGATTGCTTTTCTTTCATCTGTGTTCATACCTGTTTTATTACTATATAAGAACTAATTATTTGTTGCATCCAAACGGAATAATTTTTTTGCAAACCACTTTTTATTAAACTTAAGTAAACAAAAACTGCTTCTAATTATAATTTTTTATCAATTGCACCTATGGTCTGACACTCTGACTATTTAAATAATCTGATTTTTTCAGTTTTCCCGGAAACACTCTTATTTGGCTAAAAATTGGTATTGCTGAACGTTCTTTCAGAAAAATAAGCCATTTAAGCCAAATAAGCCTTGCCAAATGAGCTTCTTATGTGTTAATCATTTGTAGGATGGGCTGATAAAATTCACGGTATGACCGTCCCTGCTGATGGACAATATCATGTTCAAACTTTGCATGAGCCAATTGGTGTTGCTGGACAAATCATCCCTTGGAACTTTCCTCTTCTCATGTTTGCGTGGAAGGTTGGGCCTGCATTAGCATGCGGAAATACCATTGTTTTGAAGACAGCTGAAAAGACACCTTTGTCAGCTCTCTTCGTTGCGAAGCTCTTCCATGAGGTAGTGCTTAGAGAGTGTTTGGGATGACTTATTTAAAGGAATATACGCTTTTTGAGGAAGTAAGGTGCCTTGGCATATTAAAAAGCGCTTGCTAAGAAAGGGGGCATAATCCTTTTAACAGAAAACAAAAACCCCTTATTGCTTATTTAAGAAACCAACAAGTTGGTGGTTTTAAACAAAAACTGTAGGTGCTTGAATAAGAGAGAACTTATGATAAAATCACTTTTACCACAAGTTTACTTCCTTTATCTGTTAACCTTCTTATATATACTTTTAGGTTGCCTCACATAGTGTTACACTCTATACTATAGGCTGGACTGCCTCCGGGTGTTCTTAATGTCGTCTCTGGTTTTGGTACAAAAGCTGGTGCTGCTCTCTGCAGTCACATGGACGTGGATAAGGTAGTTTAAATGCTTTCTCTTCGGTCATTTGTGTGTCTTATCTTGATATATGAATCAAAATGAATTTATATATATTTCCAACTCTATACAAATGCCTCGTTTTCTCCTTCTCTCTCCACATTTTCTCTATCTTAGTCACATGCTGCCATACACTCCCTTTTCCTGTCTCTTTCTCTCACCTACCGGACTTCTCCAGTATGTTATCTCTCCATCCCATATTAAAGGGGAAAGTAATTTAAATACTCTAAAATTTTGAGGAGTCTGAGGTAAGCAACCCAAACTTGCATATTTAATATAATTACCCCGAAATTTATATAAAAATTTTGAGGAGTGTGAGGGAAACAAATTTATATTTATCTTAACATCATGATCATATGTTTTTTCCTTCACAAAATGTAGATTTATAGTGTTAAGTAAATAAATTAAATATTCTAAGCATTTTAAGTGTGCAATTAACAATATAAACTTATTTGTTAATGTTATTTTTTTCAAATATTGATGCTTAGATTAATAATTTCATCCTTATAAATGCCCAAAGTATCTTACATTTTATATTTTAACACTATAAATTTACATTTGTGGAAGAAAAAGCATATTACATATTATGATGGTGCTAAGATAAATTTTTATATAAACTTTGTTTTTTTTTTATTACATATGCAAATTTGGGGTGTTTACCTCACACCCCTTAAAACTTTGGGGTATTTAAATTATTTTCCCCCATATTAAAAGCTACACTTCCTTTTCAATGTGTCCCTCAAGGCCTCAATTATGTCGGCGTGCCTTTTAATGAAATAGAACATTCTACATTTTCCAATTTATCCCTTTATGAATTGGCATGCTGGCATATTTGGGTTAACTATTTATGAAGCTTGCCCTCCTTTAACAGCATAAAGGGGGCAGCCCGGTGCACATTGGCCTCCCCGCTGAATCCGTGACCTCTCACTTACTTGTATAAAGAGCAAGCTTTCATTTGTCATTTTTCATTTTGACAAGATGCCGCTCCCAAAACATGAACCCATGACCTCTCAGTTATTACCGCGAGCTGTGCGCCAAGGCTGCTTTTACAGTATAAAATTTGAAAATTGATCAAATGCGCTTTGTTTCCTTAAATATCCGGGCAAAAAGCAATGAGGGACTATATTTTGGGAGTATTTATTTTGTGTTGCTACTTCTGCAGCTTGCATTCACAGGTTCAACGTCAACTGGGAAGGTTGTGCTCGAATTAGCTGCCAAAAGCAATCTTAAACCTGTGACACTGGAACTTGGTGGAAAATCACCTTTTATTGTTTTTGAAGATGCTGATGTGGATAAGGCTGTTGAAGTGGCCCACACGGCTCTCTTCTTCAACCAGGTAGCTCATCATCCTTGAGGGTCTGTTTGGAACTCGGAAGATGTTGGGAAAAGAAAACAGAGAGGAAAATGGTTGGGAAATTTGAATGGAAAAAAGGGCTCCAAACACAGTTGCTTCCATCACATTTCCCCCTTTCATCTATGATTTTCTGGGTTCCAAACATAGCCGAAGTAAACAGTAGTTGTATTTGCTTAAGATAGGGCTCTCTACAAAAAGTCGTCTGCTTTTTAGGGACAATGTTGCTGTGCTGGGTCTCGGACATTTGTCCATGAGAGTCTCTATGACGAATTTGTAGAGAAAGCAAAGGAACGTGCTATGAATCGTACAGTTGGTGACCCATTCCATGCAGAAACGGAACAAGGTCCTCAGGTATATTTAATCATCAGTTTTGTTTATCAGCTTCTAGCTTCATTATTTTTTGCCTCTTCTCTGGAATGTAAAGAAATGCTTGCATAGAACAGGTTGATTCAGAACAGTTCGAAAAGATCCTGAAGTATATTAGATCAGGAATTGATGGTGGAGCAACCCTTGAAGCTGGAGGTGATAGGCATGGCACTAAGGGCTACTACATTAAGCCAACGGTTTTCTCCAATGTTACAGTAAGCCGTTTCACACATATTTTGTTGATTTTCAGGTAGAACATCTATTACTCCCTCCGTCCTGTAAATTTCTTCCCACTTTTCTGTTTGGGATGTCCCGGAAATATCTTAATTTCTTTTAAGTAAAGATGTGTCATGTGTGATTAATTTTACATCATGCACAACCATTGAATATCTCTTTATTACAAGTGTGTCAAGTCAAAGTGGGAAGGAAATTTTGGACGGAGGGAGTATAAGAGAAGTGTGTACACAGTACCTTGTGCTTTTGATAGTGGTATAGACTTCTAAAGTTTCTGGCATCATGTTGAATTGACTTATGTTTGTGTTTTCAGGACAACATGCTGATAGCAAAGGATGAGATATTTGGTCCCGTGCAATCAATCTTGAAATTCAAGTACGTTTTATAAAAAAAAGCACCTAAAAACAGTCTCACAGAACTAAGTTCATGAGACCTATAACTTCAGCAAAAACCTAATAATATTGTGCTGAAATGCATCACTTGTGAAACCGAAGTATTTTGAAGACTCATTCTTCTCGATTTTGTGTCATCTGGAATTAGGGAAAGCTGGGAGATGTTTTTTTAGATTTTTTGTACCTAACCATAGTATGATCAAGTAAAACCTGCATGTTTCAAAACTAAATCACAAGTCCTATTAAACAAAATTGACATAACTAGTTGTAGTTTGCCCAATGAATAGTAACTATAATGACGCATAAATTTAGGCAGAGGGAGCATTTTTTTACTAAAAAGGTTACATGTCTCTGCTAACAGGGATGTTCTTTCAGTTATATTTTTTTCGTTATTGTTTGTCTGTAGGGATATTGATGAAGTAATCAGGAGAGCAAATGCGTCTAAGTATGGTCTTGCTGCGGGGGTCTTTACACAAAACATTGACACTGCAAATACAATGATGAGAGCTTTGAGAGTTGGGACAGTATGGATTAATTGCTTTGATACCTTTGATGCTGCCATCCCTTTTGGAGGGTATAAGATGAGTGGACATGGAAGGGAGAAGGGAGAATACAGTCTCAAGAACTACTTACAGGTCAAGGCGGTTGTCACTGCATTGAAGGACCCAGCTTGGCTATGACCATCCTCTTCTCACATCAAGCTAGGGTTAATTCAATAGTGATGATGATGAAATATTGCCTTTTGTTTCAATAACACTTGTCATGTTGAGTATTCGTTATACTTTTGCTTTTAGTTTAAACATCCATTTGCTGTGCTGAACACATAAAGGTTCAGTTTGTGCAGCAATGTGGAAATAATACAGATTGTATTTATGCTCAATAAATATCCTCTCTCTCTCGTTCTGTTTTTGAAAGGTTTAATTTACACCTGTTATTACAAAAAAAGGATCACGACCCATCCCTCAGGGTCCCCCGACCTCGACCGGGCGGTACTTTTATTAGGCATGAGACTTAACCATATCCTTGTACTTTTTTCCTTCCTCGGACTAGCCACCTTGTCAGTGAACGCCTCCCGGGCCCGGTCCATCCCTAGGAGAAGGTGGCAGTGGGTGGGAGAAAAGAGACAAAGGATGTGGAGAACATTGAGGTGGTTCAAAAACTGGGGCACTTTTTGTGGAGGAGCATAACAGCAGACTTGAGGTTAACAGTGGTGCCGCCAACACTTTTGATGCCGTGATGGTCGATTGCCACGGTCTTCATAAATTTTCAGAAAATTGCACCCATGCAAAATTTGCTGCCAATCACTGGCAAATTTTCAGTAATTTATTGTCTAGAGTTAGAATTTCTACGCTTTCTAAAATCTAAAGTAAGGAATCCTAATTTAGACAGAAAGCAGAGTTGATTCTATTTTTAGAAACCCTTAATTCTAGTTCTGCACTTCTGCGTAGAGCAGCAAGACCAGTTAAGAGTTAAGACATTGTGATGAAACCTCCTCTCACATGCTTTCCTTTCAAGGGATGACTCAGTAAAGTAAATAGAATATAAACAAATAAAAACAGTTGTGTTTCATGTAATAAACAAGATCAAAAGCATCTCATTCATTCACATATAGCCATCTATATATACAAGGAGAAGGGAGCTAGGGTTACACTTGATATGGGCCAGAACATATGGGCTTGGGGGTTAATGGACATCCACATATTGCATAACACTCCCCCTTGGATGTACATTGCTAAATAAAATACATTACAAGAAAAATTTACATTATTATCTCTATACGCTATGGTAATACTGCCTCGTTAAAAACCTTGCCGAGGAAAACCCAGTGGGACAAAACCTTGGTCAAGGGAAAAAGAGTGCAGCGCGTAAGCCGCGTATATACTCCCCCTGTTGACTGCATCAGTTCAAAACTTCTTGTAGAATCCAATATAATCTGATGATCAACTCCTTGTAGCAAAAATTTAACTATGTGTATGCCTCATTAAAAACCTTGTTGGAAAAACCCTTTGGGAAAAAACCAATCAAGGATAAGAGTACATAATATATGTAAACCGATGTGTTGGATTGACTGCCTCGTTAAAACCTTTGACCAAGAAAACCCTATGGGACAAAACTTGGTTAAGGAAAAAGAGTACAGTTGCAAATGATCTTCCGGACCAATAAATTGTTCGATCTCACAAGGATCAATTAAGACCTTCAGGGTACTATCTTTCGAACTAATATTAGAATCACTCTTTTAGAGGATAATAGTCTTCTGGATGTTATGAATCTTTCTGATTTTTTAAAAATCACAAAATATCTTAAAACCTTTGGCCAAGAAAAACCCTTTGGGACAAAAACTTGGCTAAGGAAAAAGAATAGCACATGGTCTTCTGGACCAAATAATTGTTCCACTTCAACAACAACTCAATATGTTTAGGTGAAAGTATACGATAAGCGGAAGCAATTGTCTAAATTCATGATTCTGCAATGTGTATTTCAAGACCATCAAGTTTATTGTTATTATGCATGTCAAATATTCAATAATTGAGTATTCTCAAATATTGGTCCATAAAACTTAAATGAAACATGTTTTGATCCTTCTAGGATCTCAAATTAGTATACAAACACTTCAGGTGTTCACAATATAATGACTAGATATTTTATTTATTATATAATCAAACACCATTCAAATCAAAAGATTTTAATTCATGTGTTGTTTCTAGGTCTGTCTAGATGCTTAAAAGCATCCAACACCTTTATTTATACAATTTGGTTCATAGAATAATATATGTTTACTTCAGGTAAACAAATATAAGATTTATGAGTAATTGCAAATTCATTGCATAATGATTTCCTCATTCAACTCTTTCTGCAGGAAAGGTTGAGAAGTAGTATGAATATAGTTCACTTTAAATTAGTTTAAATTCTAGTCATGATATCATGTGAAAACAAATAAGAAAATTGTTCACATTAGATCCTCTCAGGAGGCACTCACTACAAGTGATATTTTGACATGATGCAAAAACCTTGTTCAATTACATAATATAATTTGCACCATGATATTCAAGCATAGTTCTTCTACAAAATAAATCATTTCGTCAAGACTTATTGTAGTCACCCAGGTTGTAATTAGGCACAAGCGTCCATTTTATATGTTTTTCAGCTATGCTTAGTATTTACTGCATTATTTATCATTGCAGTTATTCAATCAAATTCAAATTCCTTTTCAAGAATAATTCCAAATATATTTACCATAACTTAACACACAATCACCTTATCTAATTATTATAAACATAAAATAATTTATATTCATGTTGCATGTTGTGTGCACATATTTCTTTTCACTATTGTCCTTCAGGGACACAATTGATATTATAACAATGACATCCAATTTTCTCATCAACTGCCACATTACAGAACTTCAATCTATAACAGGAATGTAGTCTCAAAAATCATTCAATCTCAAGTATTGTCACCCCACGTACACAATATCTTGATTTATGGGACTTCAGGCCCAATATATAATATTTTCTCATCCATAAACATCGATCATAATTCACAAAATTTTAGGACTACAGGTCCATCATATTTCGTCTGGCCAGACTTTATTATTAATTATGGATTATGAATCGATAGTCTTGGAAAAATAAATCATTGACGTCAATATAATAACTATGATTCCTATTTCATCAAAGTTCTCTATATGAGCCATAAAAGAGGAACTCATGTTCTGTATCATAAAGTTTCTATAACTTATCAACTGCAGCATTTAACTTATATCATCCTCTTGTAGAGGCATAAGTGACTTCCTAAAATAAAAAGCAATTTTATTTGTATACACGTAATGACCGACTAACCATGCTTCATGCATTGGTTGAGCTCAATCTTTATAATCATTTCTTTCAATCACTTTGGCAGTTTACTTATCATATTTTACACGTTTCTCTTTTAATATCAATCGATCCTTCTGGGATATTTTCCTGACATTCCAAAATATAATTATGCGTATGCCTTTATATCTCCCCCTAATGTCGGCAAATGTGTCATAATATTTTTGAACAAGGATTTACGTATATATGGAGCCACTTCTGGGGTCCGAGTACATCATTTTTGTAGTGGGGTTTCAATGTTGGCACACTTTGACTCATTTTAACGTGTAAACTTTGGGGGTTAGTCGTTAACAAATGTTGAATTAATATAAACTAGAATTTATTCATATATTTAGGCATCTTTCTAGCAGTTTATCTCAGGCAAAACATACATCGTATAATGCTAGATATATTTTGTGGGTTACCTTATGCTCTTCACTATATTTCATAGAAGCCGGTAAAATGGTATTATACCACTCATTATATGTAGACATTTCAGGAGAGCATATCTTGAGACCAAACTTGATATTAACCCACATTGTGAAACTTCAAGTTCACTTAACTCCCATGGATCCACTTTTAAAATATTGGGAGAATAGACGGTCTTTCCATTTTCTTGTATTTATATACTGGATGTCTTATACGGCATTTGGTTTAAACCTGAGTTGACCTTAAATTGGTCATTTATTCAAAATTATTAGACTTCATGCAACACGTGTTTAAATTATTCAAATATATATAGTATAGTACGAGGAGAATTCTGCTACAGGCAGATATTTTGGAAACACAATTTACACTGCGTTGGTGTGGTCTCAAACTATCACCCAATAAGTATGATATCACTTTTCAAATTACTACTTCGCAGTGTTTGAGTAGCTTCTTTGAGCTTACACTCAATGCCTGAGATTTTATCAATATTATTTATGTGCACAACTTGTTTATAAATATAATGTGTGCTTCCGTTACTTTTTATCATTACAATATGATTAAATTTCTAATGTGTATGACTCTATCAAAAGTTAATATAAGTTGGACTCTATGTCACAAGTATATAAATGCTTCAGGCATTATATCATCATCTCTTAAGACAAAAACAATCTATCACTAAAATAATCATTAATCTATTGATTTGTTACTTTCATAGAAATAATACAAATCACCCATCTAGAGATGCATATAGAGAGTCTAACAATTAGTTAATGCTTCTCTTGAAGAAACATAAAAGTTATCAACTAATCATATTTTTGTAAGATTTATCTTGACGTATAATAATATATTGTCCGCTTGGGTACTTCAGGACCTCACGACTTTAAACACGTCCACATGAAGGGCTTCGGACCCTGCTTATAAACACACACACTGTCTTATCTGTGGGCGATGTGGGAACTTCGAGTTCACGGCACACCCACTTGTACGTCAAACATATTCTCTTAGTGACTTATGACACTTTGATAATTGTGAAATTTTGTTTGTTTTCTCCCCTCTCAAGTAGATTAACTTGAGAAAATCATTGTACATAATTACAATAATTTGAGGTTTACTAGGAATTATTTGTGTATTCATAGCAATATTTAACTATATTTTGTATAATGTTGAAGCTTATATCATGATTTGTAATCATGCGTTTTCTTAAAGTATATATCACTTACTGGAGTGTTTTATAAAATATTGGAGCTATACGAGTCACATTAACATATCGACTAATATTCAACAATCAAGTTTAACATATAAATGTAATCATATTATGTTCCAAGAATGATCAAATTATTAATAGAGATATGTGGAACGTACCTGTAACCTCCAATGCGTTTTTCTTAATGCTTAAATTAATTCAATGTAGAATAAATACCTTTTTATAGTAATACAAATAAGCATTAGAAATGCAATGAAATGCAAATGAATTGATAAAGATTTCCATCCCTCATACATTAAGAAAATAAACTTTAGGAAAATGCTATTGCGGGAGGGAGAATTAATTGATAGCTTACATGCAGCATAGATTATCACATAAGTTGGTTATGCACATTTACTAAATCCAAAAATGGACATATCAATTATAAATGGAAAGATTAAAGTGTACCTGGACTCTTCTTT